AAAATTGTGTTTCTGGTCATAGTTTTCTTGAAATTGAGACCACAAATTATCTCGACAACATATTTCTTTACCTTCGTTTCTATTTTAATTTCACTTCTCTTGCTAATGTTATATTTTATTTTTGCTTTTTAATTTATTTTGTGATTCTCTGGCAAAATGATTTGGTTTTTAAAGGATCTTATCAAGTTGTAGCATGAGTGAAAAATCATCAACATTTGATTTGTCAACAGGTAATTAATATATATATATATATATATATATATATTATATACATATTAATATTCATTTTTTTTCATCTATTATATCATATGATAATTAACTAATTGAAAATTCATATTAAATTATTTATGCAAGTTATACACCATAATAAATTAATAGTAAAACATTTTCATTATATTATTTATTTTACATTAATATATATTTTTTTTTAACATTTTTATTCAATTGTATCTATCACAGTGAAGGATGTATATCGACGTCGAAATGCGGCTAAGATGAAAAGAAGATACAACGATTTAGATCCTTATCAGAAGCAAGTGTATTGTGCTAAAAAAAATAAACATCGCAAGGGCCAAAATATGGGCGTTGCATGTCTTGATACCGATGAAGTTTCATCTGGACATGAAGGTTAGAGATATTTAATCCTCTAATACAAAATATATACATATTTTTATGAGATCTAAATGAGTACTATATGCTTCTTTTATACTTCAAGAATTTTTTGTTTTTATTGTTTTTTATATTTTTATATTAGGTTGTCATAATGCATTTACATATTCCATATTTGATGTTATTAAAGTTGTAATGGAGTCAATACTTTACTTTTGTACAAATAAAAATATAAATTATGTCTTAATTAGACATTTGATTGTTTTCTATTGTATTTAATGTGATTTACTAGAGATATATTATTAGTAATACTCTATTATTATTGTACATAAAAAAATAAATTAGACATTTCATTCATTTATGTGATTTAATAAATAATTGGTATTTGTCATTTTTTAGGATCAATTATCAAAGGGAATGTATGTTTAGCGGTACATGAGTTGAAAAAAATGCCCAATTGCATACATTGCGGTGCAATGAAATTTCAGTACGAGTGTCCAACATTTTGTTTTGATAATGGGAAAGTCAAACTTGCTCCTATTGAAGTGCCTGATGAATTATATGAATTGTTCACTTCACAGACGGAAGAGGCAAAACAGTTTCGAATAAACATTCGCCTATTTAATAGTATGTTCTCTTTTACATCATTAGGGGTCAAATTAGATAAAGAACTTGCATCTGCAAGACAAGGAGTCTATACTTTTCGAGCTCAGGGAGTAGTGTATCATGATCTTTCTAGCTTATTACCTAAAGAAGATGGACCTGGGTATTTTCAGTTGTATTTTGTGGAAACAGAACGAGAGGTCGAGAATAGGATGGGCATATTTCCAAACTCCTCTTTATCTAAATCTACAGTTAACAAACTCATTACCGTTTTGGATGTAAACCCATATGCAAAAGTTTTTAGACGATTGAAGGACTATCCATCAATGGATGAAGTTCGACTCCATATCTCAAAGGATGCAAAACTAGACCAACGTGTGTATAATTGTCCGACAACTGATCAAGTCGCAGCAATATGGGTTGAAGGAAATAATGTTAATATTCCCTTTGAACGTGACATTGTTATTCATGCACATTCAGGTGCAAGACATAGAATAAAGCATTATTTTGGATGTTATGATCCACTGCAATATCCCCTCCTTTTTCCAAAAGGTGATGTTGGTTGGCATCAAAAGATTTTCAAGTTAGCTTCTAATGAAAACTATATGTAGAAAGAAGGTACAATTTTTTTATTTTTTATTTAATTTAATTTTATTTTTTTTATTTATATTTAATGCTTTGTATTTTTTATATTGATATGGCATTTTATTTGTTTTATTTTATTTCCATTACGTTTTCAGATACAAATATCTCATCAATCTCAAAATTTTCTTGTCCGAATGACATCATTTCTCATGAATGCCAAGGTATGCAATTTTTTTTTTTTATTATAATGCAATGTTTCAATTATGGACATAATTGTTGCAACAATATTTAATTATTTTAACAAAATTATGAATAAGCTATAAGTGTTTTTAACATTATATCAAAGCTGCTTTTATAAATAATTAAATTCTTTATTGTTTGGTTAAATTTGTATTCAATATTGTTAAAAGATTTTTTAACTGAATTATTTTTTTAATTATTCATTGTATATTATTTACAGTTGATGGAGCAGAAAGCCCCAAAAAAGTATCATGCAGAGAATATAGTTGCTACAGACTGCAAATCAGACGTCCTAGAGAATCAACACTTCTCCTTGGTGAAAGACTATTTCAGCAATATGTCGTTGACATGTATATAAAACTGGAGACAACAAGATTAGATTATTATCGCCATAATCAATCGAACATGAGAGCTGAATCATACCAAGGAATTAAAGATAGTGTTAAGAAAGGAGAGACTAGAGGAAGTGAAGTTGGAAAACGAATTGTGCTACCTGCATCATTTATTGGAGGACCAAGAGATATGCGTCGTAGGTATCTTAATGCACTAGCATTGGTGCAAAAATTTGGAAAACCACATTTATTCATTACAATGACTTGCAATCCAGATTGGATAGAGATACAAGAGTTGTTGTATGAAGGGCAACGAGCCCAAGATCGTCCAGATTTGACGTCAAGAGTGTTCCAAGCAAAATTGCAAGATTTGAAGGATCAGATTCTTAAGAAGAATATATTTGGAGATGTAGCTGCTCATGTTCACGTAATTGAATTTCAAAAAAGAGGGTTGCCACACGCCCATATGTTGGTTATCATGAAGTCTGAGCATAAAATTCAAACTCCTGATCAATTTGATAAATATGTTTCTGCTGAACTTCCAAATCGAAGAATCTACCCCAAACTCTTTGAGATGGTTGTGAGACATATGATGCATGGACCATGTGGAGAAAAGAACGAGAAGAATGCGTGCATGTTGAATGGTAAGTGCAAATATCATTATCCACGTGCATTTTGCGAGAAAACTGTACAAGGAAAAGATGGATACCCGGTTTACAGAAGAAGCAAAAACGGATTAACAGTTCAAGTTCGCAATGCTCAACTAGACAATCAGTGGGTAGTGCCATACAATCCTTTTCTCCTATCAAGATATAACTGTCACATAAATGTGGAAGTATGTTCAGGAATTACAGCTGTGAAATATCTTTATAAATACATATACAAAGGGCATGACCGAGTGGCAATTAATGTTACCCACAATAATGATGAGCAGTTGGTCGATGAAATCAAGGAGTTTCAAGATGCACGATGGGTATCTGCTCAAGAAGCAGCATAGAGGATATTTGAGTTTAGCATGAATGATATATGCCCTGCAGTTATTAACTTGCCACTTCATCTTCCCGACAAGCACCTTGTGCCTTATCCAGCAAATCAAAATCTCAAAAATGTTTTGAGTTAGGAACATAATTCCAAAACAATGCTTACAGAGTATTTCTCAATGTGCGCTCAAAGTGAAGAAGCAAGAAAATATCTTTATCGCGAATTTCCTGAGCATTATGTATGGAAGAAAAAGCCAAAATATTGGCGTAAAAGAATTGAAAAAGATGTTATTGGCCGCGTGAATACTGCAAATCCAAATGAAGGGGAAAGATATTATGAGAAGCTACTCTTGAATCACGTTAGGGGACCAACATCTTTCAAAGATTTGGCAACTGTAGATAATGTTCTTTGTCATTCATTCAAAGAAGCAACCCAAAAAAGGAGATTACTTGAATCTGATCAAAATATTTTCGAATGTTTGAATGAAGCAGTGACTTTTCAAATGCCACGCGAATTGAGAAGGCTATTTGCAACCCTATTGGTTCATTGTGCTCCAACGAATGTGAAAGAGCTGTGGAATACATACTGTCATGCAATGTCTGAAGATTTCAGAAGAGATTCAAATGCATCAGAAGAAGTATATGCCGTCAAGACTTTAAACGGTATAAACTCATACTTGGAGAGTATGGGTAAGAGTGTATGTGACTATGATCTTCCAAATATACCCATAGATATGATTAAGATGTATGATGATATTCATAGAGAGATTCAAGATGAACTTTCGATTGAAGTGCCTCCTGAAGATTATGCAGCTGTAGGAATGTTGAATGATTAACAGCATAAAGCATTTTCATTAGTTTTGGATTGTGTAAAAAGCGGACAAGGAGGCATATTCTTCATTGATGGACCAGGAGGAACAGGAAAAACATTCTTATACCGTGCATTGTTAGCTCATCTTAGATCAAAAAATCTGATAGCCCTTGCTACCGCAACATTTGGAGTTGCTGCTGCGATTATGCCTGGTGGAAGAACAGCACATTCACGTTTCAAAATACCAATTGATGTAAGTGAAGGATATAAAGGCAGTGTGTCAAAACAAAGTGGAGTTGCCGAATTATTACGGAAGGCACGGTTAATAATATGGGATGAAGCGCCAATGGCGAAACAATGGGCGATCGAGTATGTGCATTATTTATTGCAAGATGTAATGGGTAATACTCAAGATTTCAGCGGAAAATTGGTTGTTCTGGGTGGTGATTTTCGGCAAGTTTTACCAGTGATCCCAAAGGCTACAATCCAACAAACAATATCTGCAAGTTTGGTCAAGTCAACATTGTGGCCTAAAATGAAGAAGATTTCCTTGTCCAGAAACATGAGGTCAAGGAATGATCCTGCCTTTAGTAAGTTCTTACTTAGAGTTGGGGATGGTTAGGAACCAACTGACACAGATGGTAATATTGAAGTTCCGAAAGAGATGATTGTTGCTTATGACAATGAGGATGATTCAATACAACGACTTCTGAACATCATTTTTCCAAATTCCTCGCTCGTGGGAAATTGTAGAGTAGCTCTCTATTCTGAAATATTTTCTACTTAACCTATCAATCATGTGATAGGTCAAATTTACAAAAAAACATTTTTTGGTTGTAGGTCTATAATGGTATGACTCAGTTGGGTTATGAGAAGCTTTATGATGAATTTAGGTACTGGTCTTATTTTTTCTCACTTTTTTGCTTCATTTGCAGTTTTCGCTTCAGAGTTGTGTTCAACGAGGTTGAGATTGTTCTTCAAAAATATCTTTATAGCTCAAATCTTAACCCCCTAACACCCCCCATGTAACTCAGATGTCATTTGTCAAGATCAAATACACTTTTTTATTATGGAGTGACATGTCTGTGGTCTTACTTTTTTTTTCCCCTCTGAAAATGAATCTTTTTAGGTACTATATCACGTTATACTATGACTTTCATGGCGATCTGAACTCAATTTTATGCAGCTTCAGAACTGAGCAAAGGGATGTGACCCTATACTTAACTGCAGTTGCTTCCGTTTCAAATTTAGTTCAAAAACCTACGGTCAAGGTTATTTATATCCTTATCTATTTGGCCAAGTGATTTAAATTTATCGAGTTATAATTTTCTTATTCTTTTTGTTCGGACACATCGTTTTCTTTCAGACTTCTCCAGAACAAGGATTGGTTGTTCAGTTGTCTGGTTCTGGAGCAGATGGCAGGCCACCAACTACCTTGTCTCCCACTATGATACTTGTGGACTGGAGATGTAAAATTCCTCATAATTCCATTAAATTTGGCTGACTACAAAGTGGGCCCACTCTTTGTTCTAACTTTGCTAAATGCTTTAGGTGAAAAGACTCGTACTACACCTTATGAAGTTGAAATTACCATTCCAGTGGAGAATTATGACCCAATTCAGTTCACTCTTGCAAATATGTGTGGTGAGCATTAATTTACTTTCTCCTCATTTCCACTTTCTCAGTAAAAAACCGTTTGGTTAGATTTTGCAACCCCCACTCCCGGCAAAAAAATAAAATAAAATAAAAAAGAATAAATAAATGAATGTACTTTAAACACCCCTTCAGGTTAAATTTGCTTAACAAATCCCCTTACCTTGAGGTGGCACTTGAACAATGGGCATGAATTTCTGGGATGAACGTGTAAGTTTACCAGATAAATGTATTTTTAATAATTGGCCTAAACGTCTGGGGTAAGTTGGTTGTTATACCTGATTAGTATGATGGAAAGAGATATGCTATTTGGATATTTTCAGCCATACTAACTATTATAGGGCTTGTTAACTCAGCTTCTGCTACTGCTTATGATTCTTTATGGCTTGTTAAACATAACTGTTGCCTTCTTACTTTTATTTCTATTTTACCTCATAACTTATATAGAACACAGCCAAGGTGAACGTGGCGAAGCTACTAGAGGTTGGGCCATATTTGGAATCATATCTTGCATGTATGTCAATTTATTCTTGAAATTTCATTGCGTTATAAGTTGTACCTAGTGTTATTGCATTTGAAGGAACCTTTTGTGATAACTCTCTTGCACATTTCTTAGCTTCTTCAGAAATTAAATATCATTGGTTGTTGAGCTGCTTTGTGTTGCTTTTGTGAAACAGATCAATTGTAGCCTTCACACTGTTATGCATTGGAGGGTTTATTTATAGGACAAGAGTGACAAACCTGGTAGGTTAATTTTGTGTCTTAAATGTATGATCTTTTTTCGTACAGTTCTTTGTATTTGTAGGATGTTGTTTAGCTGATCTTAATTTTGAGCATAACACTTGCAGCGAGGGCTTGATGCTGTACCAGGGATGGCAATATTATCGGCATGTTTGGAAACTGTAAGTACAGTTTATTTGTGGTAAACTAGGCAATCTCTAATAATGTGATTAACTATAAAAGAATACTCTCGAGGTTGTTTCAAATCACACAAAACAGAGTTTAGCTATCTTACAAGAGTACAAGCACCTTTGATATTTGTTCACATTTTACAAATTGCATCCTCGGTGGCGGTATTTGAACTCAGTTAACCGCAAATGTGTGTTTAATTCTGAAAGAGAACTGATTGTCTGCCTGTCTTCCCTTTCCTTTTGAATAATAATAAGCTAAAACTCATTTATATGAATGATTGGTTTTATTACTTCATATTAACCTGAAAACATGCAGGCAAGTGGAGGCTTGCAAGGCGGCTATACATGCCCAGATGATGCTAATAATCCTTTTGCAAATCAAACTTCGTGGGATCAGCGACCAAATTCTACTCAAAGAACATGGAGAGCTAGTGAAAGAACATATGGCTCCATTTGATGCACATGCACAATCCTCATAATTTACTTAACTCGCCTGCTTAAAGTTATCTTCCGGACTATACAGATTTTGAAGGTTTTTTTTTTTTTTTTCTTTTCTCTTTTTTTTGAAGAGGCTTATAATCATCCAGGTTCAATTAGAGCTCATAGGTGCAACTGCATCTTGTTGTTGTTTGGATAGGTCATTTGCATGAGCTGGTTGAAACAGCTCAGATGTGATTAACTTGTTCTTTACCTTATAATTTTTGGCTATGGCCTATGAGTGGATGAGCATGAATAATGCTATATATTTAGGCTTTTGAAATTACATGTGATCTCTCAATTGATCTTCTGGTTCTCTGTGATTTGTTGCTTGATATGTGCAGTAAGTTTGCTTCTTGTATGTGTTGTACTTAACACGATATATATCACTTTAATCACTCTTGTTGGGTGCAAAAATTCTATCAAGCCATCAGATGGCTCCCTTATGGAGTCATCCATAACTTTATATATTGACACGTGTCTAATGTGTATTAATGTAGGATACGTGTCAATACACCATTTGTGAATAACTATGGATGGCTCTATAAGCCGAGCCATCAGATGGCTCCATAGCAAAACCGCTTGTTGGGTGATCCATGGTACCTTGAGATAGAGAGGGAATGGGTGATTCATCGAGCTGGATTGCCTCACTCTCTAGTGAAAAGCTTCGGAAGATGGTTATATAAAGTGAAATTTTACTCAAAGGGCATGGAGAGGGTGAATTATTTATTTAAAAAAATAAAAAAACAAGTGGACAAAAATAAAAAGAAAAAAAAATGTGTGGAACAAAATCAAAAGCATGTATTACGAGAAAAATAAAATACGTTTTTTTAAAAAATGTATTTTAAAAACACGTTTTATAATTATATTTTTAAAATAAAAAAAATATTATTTTCGAAAAAAATAAAAGTTAAATGAAAAAATATTAATTATAAAACGTATTTTGAAAATACGTTTTATAATTCATTTTGAAAAAATATTAATTATAAAACGTATTTTGAAAATACGTTTTATAATTTATTTTGAAAAAATATTAATTATAATTCATTTTTTAAAAAAAAAATTATTAAAACGTATTTTGAAAATACGTTTTTCTTTAAATCCTAAATCAATGTTAAAACGTATTTTGAAATACCTTGCTATAATTTAATTATTTTTTAAAAAATCTATTAATAAAAAAATAAATATCTAAAAATAAATTGGTAATATATATATATATATATACAAAAATATTTATAAACATACATATATTATATATATCATCACTGTACAATGAGCAAAATAAAAATATATGTATTATCACATGTGTATGTGTATAAGGAGAAAATAAAAAAAAATAACAAAATAAGAGACTCTAGAGGACTTGAACCCATGACCTCACACAAAAATGAAGAACAATACTATCAAGGTAACCACAACACCAAGAATATTTAGTTGAAAAGATGTTAACAAGTAATGTACATATAGACGGAATTCAATACAAATACGCGTTTCCCAGTTTTGCCCATTTCTTCATGAAATTGATGTTGATAGCATTGTTGTGGTAATAAAAATTGCTTAAAAAGAGTCTCCGTTTGGGAGATATAGAGGTTTAAAAATTTAAAAAACCTAGAATTTTGCTTAAAAATTAAATTAACCTTAGAAAAAGGCGTTTTTTTCAAATTTTTTGTCGGCCAAAACGAATAAATCTTCGGTTCGGTTCTCGGTTTTAATACTAGCGGTTCGGTTTTGACCGATTGTACCCCTAGCTAAAGGGGGAAGGAAACCGAAGGACAAACACAAACCACAAACCGAAGGACAAACCAGCTCCGAGAATTATGCCAACTTAGACTGTAGCGCCCCGTTTATTTATGGATAATTTTAGGATTATTTATTATTATTTATTAATATTATTATTACCTATTGTTTGTTATTAATATTATTGTCATTATCATTATTATTTTTATTATTGTTATTATTATTTTATTTAAATGCCTAATTGTGAAATAAATGTTTAATGTGTATTATTATTATAAATAATGTGTGAAATATTTTATTATAATAGCCGAATTTTTGTTATAAAATATCGTGCGAACCGAACCATTTTATATTGACTAAATCAACCGATTTATCGAGCCCGAGCAATCGAGCCCGAGAGAACGATATTAATTGAACCGGCGCCCCGGCCCATTTTAAACCCGCGACCCGAGCCTGGCCCGGCCCGGCAGACCCTTTTCTCTCTTTGTATTCACGCGCATGAGGTGAGATTATTAGCTTGGGCATCTAGATTTATTCTTTTAACCTAAGTATGTGATATATATTTTTTCCCCTCATCTCGCTCGGTATAGCAGACCTACCGCAGCTTTTCAAATCTCATTTCCCTGAGTTCCAAATCGCGTCCCCTCTCCCTCACCGATCTCTTCTCGTCGTCCTCTCTCTTTCGTCAGACAAGCTGTCATCTTCCTCCTTTCCCTCTCTTCCCGTCGCGATCATCATCCTCACCCTATCTCGCGGACAGAAAACCAGAACCGCCGCTCTCCTCCTGTCGCGAGCCCTTTCCGGCGAACCTCCATAGCCGCTGCAACCCCGACGACGAAAGCTCTCCAGCAGGTCCCCAACCCTCGATCGTCGTCACCGCTCGCGAGACCCGGCGGATCTGCAACTTCGACGGCCTTCCCTGTCCGCGTGCCGCCGCGAACCAACAGCGCCTCCCACCGGCGAGCAGAGCCATCCCCGGCCGCGACCCACCTCTGCGAGCAGGCTCGAGTTCCGACGACTCTCCACCGCGAGCGACCACCGTGAGCCGCCACAGCCCTCCACCGAAGCTGGCCACCGCTGCTCCTCCGCGAGCCCCGCTCAGTCCGCGGCCGTCGTTGCTCCTCCTCGCCGTGAGAAGCCGTCCTCAGCCGCGACTCGCCGTGAGCCAACAGCAACTTCGCAGCGACCTCAGACACACCGCTGCAGCCCCTCTCGCAAGTCGAGCGTAGCCGTCGATTGCCGCCGCTTGCCGCCGCGTAAGTGTCGTTCGTTCCCTCCGTTTGAGCAGTGAACTCCAGCGGCGACCTAGCAGCAGCAATCCCCTTCTCAGTCGTTGTTCTCTTCGCGAGACGACGCTTGCCGTCGAGCTTGCCGCTAGCTCGCCTCGTCTTTCCGTTTCGTTTTCCAAATTCCCGAGAACGGTACCTAGTCGTTTCCGTCTCGTTTAAATCGTTTATGTTATTTATGAATATGTGTGATTTGCGATTTGATATGAGAGATGTGTATATTGTGCGATTGGGTTCGGTATGATATTTGGTGATAGATATGATTTTATGTGTCGTTTATGTTGTTCGGGATCTCTTCAATTATGAGAAATTGAACGAGACCTCGAAAGTTGTGTAAGTCAGTGGATATTGGAACGATGTCGAGTCCTTGGCCTTATGGAAATGCCTCAGGACGAGAAATTACGTGTGTTCAATTTAATCGTTAAATTGTCGAGCTTGATTGTCGCTGTTTTGGTGTTTGAATTTTTAAAAATATCTCGCTGCTCGGAATGACTTGAGATTTTGAGGGATATGTTATCTGTTCATTTCCAGCCTTGTGTAAAAATTTCGTAATTTTTAGAGGCCTGTAGCTATTTTTAATAATTAAAGTGAATTCTGATCAGAATAGTGTTAATGCTTAATAAATTGGTCCGTGATTCAAATGAGCTGAAATTTTGATATGTTGTGCCTCTGTGTTTATATGCTGTGTTAAATGTTTAGAATTTTTGGAGTAAATTTGATATGGTTAATAATTTAATTTCTGTTTCTACTGAAAACTTGATGAATTACTATAAATCGATTTGTTCATGAAAAATTCTGAAACTTGGCTGAGATGTTTATTTTTGGTGTATATTCATGCTGTTAAAAGATGAAAATTTTTGGAGTTCATTTTAGTGCTGTTTTGATTTAAATTCAATAATTGCTGAATCTTGTGTGAATTTTTAAAAATAGCACAGTTAATGTCCAGAGCTGGGATTTTACATGTTGTTTACATCATACAAGTTAAATTTTCAAGTCCTGATTCATTCATTAGGTTCAGATATAAATCCATGTGCATTTTTGCTGATTTCTTGTAGGAGTTTTATAAATTTATGTGCTTTGAGTTTGAAGCTGAATTTTGGTGGTTTCACTAATTATTGGGAGATGTAATTTTGGCAAAAATTTCACAGCTTAAGTCGTAGGGCAGCCTGGTCAATGATTTTCATGTGATTAATAGCTAGTAAATTTTAAAGTACGATTTTGGAATTTAAAACGGTAATCGACTTGCTTTTCGTTCTGTTGTGAGTTTGACTTGGTCTATCATTAGATGAAATTATTTGAACTCCCATATGTGGTTTGGTCGAGTTTAGTGCCGAGTCTTAGTGTTCCAACATCCACAGGAATTCACGAACTACTTAGTCGAAACAAGTTCGACTAGGTCTGTTTTGTGTTTTCCGTTTAAAGTCAAGATAGATGTTGATTGTAGCATCTTAACTCAATGTAGGTAATTGAGGAGTCCAGCCTCGACCTACTACCAATTGCTTTGAGTTATTATCAATCCGGAATCCAGGTGGGTTATTCTAAAATTATCTATGCATATGTGTGATTTAAATTGTGATGAAAGTTTGGTGTGATCTATGTATGAAAATGAACATGTAGCCTATCGATGTGAGCTTGATGGCCGTCGATACGGTTGTCCCCGTATGATAAGATACGGTTACCCAGTGAGGTAAATCTCATTAAGACCTATGAGAAGGCCGTGTCATTGATGTGGCACGCACTCCCATGTTTCACTGATATGGCATGGCTTAGCTTTGATGAGCATAGATGTACATGAGTGAGTCTTTGATGAGACTATAGTCATTGATGTGGCTAGAGATGTGACATGATTTTATTGTTTATGTTCATGCTGCGACCATACCATTATTATGTTATTCATATGCATAGTGTGAGTACGATAGTTAACTGTACTCACTCCCACCTGCTCGTAACTGATGCAGGTTAAGCAGTCGGCGGGTGACGAGACAAGACGGGTGGTAGTCATGCTTTTATTTATCGCTTATTTATTTGCTTCCGCTCATTTATGTTGAGATATTATGACTGTGTCGTTTTGAACTTGGAATTGTGAATTATCTTTATGATTTGGAATTTAATGAATGCCAGTTTGGTTTATGATTTATTATTCGTTATTCGTGCATGCTGTCTTTATTTGATACGTTTGCATTTTTGGTTAAAGGCTTTTGGTAAAATTGAGTAGCGCCCTCTGAGTTTTTAATTAAATTAAAGTTTGCGAAAAAATTATTGTGATTTTTATTAAATAAATTCGATAAATATTTCAAAATAAAGTGGGGCGTTACATAGACCATCTACTTGCTTATTATATCATAGTATTCAAGCGTTTAATGTTCAATTTTGCCATCATTTAACTGATTTCCAGGTCTGTCTATTTTTGTCTCGCTCATTTACAAGTGCACATTAGAGTGTTTGGAATGTGTTCGATGAAATGCCTAACTGTGTTCGTACTATTTTTCCCAAATTCCCGGCTGCAAATTGATTCTATACGGGCGCTGAACGTACACTGATGTTGTTTATTCTGTGTTTTTGGTACAACAGTTTAGGAAGGAGATTTCTTTTCTGATTGAATTGGAGTTATAGTCCCGGAAAAAGTTCATCATGTTTGCAACCGCTATCAGATATATAGCGAGGAAACCAAAGCCGAAGATGAAACCAATAGAACTCAAAACTCCTCCCGAGCAAACACAGACAATCACAAGAACTATTTTTAACATCTTAAAGGAACATGGCCCACTAACCGTTGCCGACACCTGGGAGCATGTTAAGGTATACATTTTCTCGCACTTGTTGGTGGTTTCACTGTTTACAGACCTCATTTGTGTAGATAGGTTAACTAATATAGGTCCTTTTCAGTTGAGGGATTGGATTTGCATTCATGTGGAACAGCTTAGATGTTATGAGATTTCGTTGAGATTATCAATCTTAAGTTGTTCTCTTTTGATAATAACCTTTAGGATATATTGTTACTTGCTTCTTTGTCACTTTCTTGAAGCCTCTGTATGACTTTTACTATCATTTATGGATCTCTATATTAAATGGAACCTGAAACAATATATGAGGCTAACATGTCAAACCAAGTTCCAGAAGCATGATTTGTTTCAAACGCATTTCCATAAATATCATCCATTTTTTCTGGGATGTAATTGAGCTGGAGCAAAGAAAGAAAAAGAATCCGAGCAAGAGAAAGATCGACATTTTCATGTCGCAACTTCTTTTTTATCCAAGATATTAAACCACCAAACCAGCTTGTAATCAATTTCACGATGAATTCTTTCATGATGTGCATGTGAAACTAATAAGTGGCTTTTACATATCAATGTTAAGACCTCGGGGTAGACATTTCTAGCCATCCACAGAGTGTTGTGGGATATAGAAATTTTACACATTTTGAATGGGATATTTTTGCATTTCATGAGTTACATATCCATCTATTAAGTATCAACACACTAACCATGATATGAATTGTCCCCAGAGCAAATCTCTCTCTACAGTTCCCTGATTAACTTTTGTTTCAATTATTTGCTTACGTTTGCAATCTTTTGTGCAGATGACAAACACAGTATTACCCTTAAGGTTTAACTTGTAATTGATATATCATGTTGCTATGTCCACCCAAAGTTTTTAATTGCCCTTTCTTCTTAGTCCCCAACTAGAGATTCATTTCTTGGCTGACTCTGTGACTAGTAACCTTTGATGTTACACTAGGGATATGTTTAGTAACCAAATAAGCTAGTTAAATTATAAACTTCCTGTATTCAAATAAGCTACGTTTGGTAGGACGAAATTTTTTAAAAACCTCGAGCTTATCTCATAAGCTTCTTTGGGTAGCTTTTCAAATAAGCTCGTTGAAATTTTTATTTCAACTTATTTTACCAAACACTTTTATCATATAATCTAGCTTTTCAGCTATAAACTCGAAAATTACTTATAAGCTATAAGCTAGCTTATTAGCTAGTTTTACCAAACATAGCCTAAGAGCAGAACTTTTATCTCGTGTTTGTATTGTTCTTGCTGCTCCTGTACCTTTTCCTAACATTGAAGTCTATGTACAATATCAACTTCGTTTGCTTATTTCACAAATTATGTGAGCATTTTGTTTTTGGTTTCACTTAACTCAACCATGATAAGATGGCTAATGAAACTTTTTCCCCACGATCAGGATGTCGGGTTGAAAGGACTCACGAGCAAGCGGCACATGAAAATAGTAATGAGATGGATGCGGGAGAGGCAAAAATTACGGCAAATATGCAACCATGTGGGGCCCAACAAGCAATTTTTGTACGCTACATGGTTCACAAAACCTGATGTCAAGCAAACAAGGCCCGGAACTGGACATGGACCAAATGCTTCAACTCCAAAGTCATGAGCAATTGGCAATGTGTGTGGCCGAGAGTTGTTCAATGGATTTGTTGGCAGGGTAAACAAAATTCGATGCATGAGCTTATCTGCATATGTAACATGGATTTCGTTTATCTGCATATGTAACATGGATTTGTTGGCAGGGTAAACAAAATTCGACGTGTATATGAGCTTATCTTGATTTTGGCTTGTAGAGGATTTTGTGCTGATGCGATGCATGATTTAATTGTCGCTGTAATTTCAGGTAAATGATTGGGTGATTCAGTTAGTTTTCATGCTATTTTATGTAATTAATGATTTTTTCTTTATTTTCAGCTGCTGTTTTTGGCGCATTTGGAGCTGGTTCAGTGGCTGTGCCAAGTACAAGTTGTTATGCCATCGATAATACCAGTCACATCCATGATTTTGTATCCTCATTATGATGTATATGTTCCCAGCAGTTATACACAAACAAGATCCTGCCTTTTCGTTTTTTGGCTAGCTAAAATAAGGGAGTAGGGTGAAAAATTTGTTGATTGTGGCATTCATTCTTAATTCTGTAGCTCTTGGGTTTTCTGAAAAAAGTTTCTTGTAGTCGTCAGATATTCTTATAAAAAACTCCGAGTGTGGTTCTAAAGAGGCCCATTTGTGTGTCTTAAGGCTGAGTTTGATGGTCAGAGAAACATAACTGTATTGTTTTCCCTCTACTCAATTTTGAATTGTTTCCTCTAATGTCTTCACTCAGAGTGATTTGGTCGGACAAATTTTTGAGTATGATGACGATAAGGTAATATTTTCTTCAAGATAAAGAAATCTTGAATACGCTTATGTAAGTTTCTTTAGTGGTTATATTCTTCTGAGATATTTGGGTCATTTGCTAAGTATCTAATGTATGCAGAACCCTGATCTGGTGGTGAGGTTCTGTAAAGATGTCGAGACGAGATCCCAACCGGTAGTTAATATATAACTATTCTTGTTTTTGTGAAAAAATTGTTTTGACTTCCATCAGGTCAGTGGGCTGTAAGGTTAAGTCATCTTGATAATATTCTTTGATGCTAATGATGTGTTCCTGTACTAATAGGGATATGTGGATTTTGGAAGATTTGATAAATTCAATTATTTTACTGCCGGTTCTGGACATGCCGACTTTGTGCAGGTAAGTTTGATTCAGTCACATATTTCCTTTTTGTTCCTTAAGGCAAAGTGGTTATAAGCCGATAGGTTTGTGGATACCATTTACTTGTGTCAGCTCTCAAAATTCTAAAATGATTGAGAGATAGAGATTGAGTTACTTTTAATATAAAGAACAAGATAATTATATTATATGCACGCATGATATATTTGCTTTAACTGTTTTATCATCATTGTCAGTGCCCTGTTTCAAGTTTCAACCAATACTTTTTTTTCCTTTTCCTTTCAATTGTTTTGCGGATCTTAGATTTAGAATGGGCTTTGGATTTATGGCTTAAGAGCTTCCCTTGTCTAATATTATATTGGTGTAACTGCTAAGACTGCCGCAGTAGACCGACTTGGGAACAGTATGAAATCTTAAATCTTGAACTAAAATAAATGAATAATTATCTTAATCAGTCATGAGTTATTGCAGATTTGGAATTTGAAGTTGTTGGGGGTGGGGTCCTCCTGATTCCATTGGTTGGGATGCATTTCAAGCGAATCATTGGTCGGGGTGTATCTTAAAAAACTACATTCAGCTATAGTTAGCACTTTATAGTACATGTCCATTTAATGACTGATTTCTCCACCACCCTGCCATGCTTTAGTTATCTGCTGTAGAGATCTTACACTCCTCAGACAAACCTTACTGTTATTTTCAGCAATTTTGATTATCTAGATTACCTGATTGGATTTGGATGTGTGCATTGCCTTGTTTAAGTTGTTTTGATGTTGCACCAAGGCAATGAATTACCTTTGTTACCTTATGTCGTTCTGTTATTTTCTTCTGTTCCAATTAGTTATCAATGCGAAGACTGATATTGTAACTAACAAAACAATGTCATGCTTTCTCTAGCAAAAACTTTACACTGATAGCGACAACAGTTGTGAGATCCCCTTGGAATTGAAGTTTGTATGTTCATATTACTGCTATAGAAATCCACATTGTGTCTTGTGTCTTTTTTATTTTATTTTTTCTGATGAATGTTGACTTCCATGACTAACTTTCCTTCTAGAAGACCTTGTTTACTTCTAGAAAATCTGCTCTTTCTAAACTTTGTCATTGGGCATTTCCAGGAATATTATAGTGGTGACCTAATGAAGTGTGAAAAAACTTTTGATAAATTGGGGCGCACAGCTCAGGTCAGATTAATGACGGCTATACAAATTTTTATCTCTTATCTACTACTTTTTCTTGCTTTACATATTTTCTTGTGGAAACGTAGAGTGAACTCTTGCAGCTAAACTTGCAGTTCACTGTATTATATGTAACTGAGGCCGTTTGTTTCCCTATTTTCAGCTAAACATCATTTGTGGAAATTGCCCAAATGGACAATGTGTAGGTATGTGAAACTTCATTAAATATGTAATTCTTAGAAAGGAATGCATCTGTTTAGAGTGAATTTATTTCAGTCTGATAAGCTATGTCATCAGAATTTTAAAGATTATTTCATCTCCAATATAGCTGTGTTCTTTGAATGGGTTTTCATTTTCTTGCAATTTTCTTTCTAAAAGAGCTATTAGGGTGAAGATTAATATTCCCTTTGTGTCCTATTGTGTCTTTTTTTTCTTTATAGAATTGCTTTCTAAAGAAGCTAATAGGATGAAATTAATATTATATTTGCTTCTTGTTTCCGAACAAATTATGTTCTCCCAAACTGCAAAGTAATTTTGTATGACCCTTGTACATATTGTTGATTAAGATATTGTGACAAGTCAATCCTTGATAATTATAAGTTCGAACAACCAAACAAAGCACACACCACTATCAGTATTTTCTGTAAGATAAAATATAAATGGTTTTGGTTAGTAGATCAATCTAGATCCATAGGCAGGGGAAGAAAAATAGTTATAGGAAAATCTTTCAATCATCTGTAATGGTTTCAAAGTTAACTACCAGAGAAGTATCTTTTAGTATCACATATCGAATAGTTACAGAAATAATGTTGCTGAAAATTTTTCTTTGGTTTTGATTCAAGCTTGCCAATATCAAGAGACTTAACCTCCATACAGGCTACGATGTAGAAGTAGTACCTTCCTTTATGCTGACAAACAAAGTCATTGAATTGATAACAATAGTAATGTGACTGTTAGTGAAGTATTCTGAGGATACTGAGTATGTTGCTTTCTGACATAACTTGCGATGCTTTGTGCACAGGCTATATAAAGTAATGTCTTTTTCCCATTATTCTGTATTTTTTAATTTTGAACCACCAAGTATGCGTCTATGATTTCACAATGTTATTTCTTTCCTGCATGTTTAAACTATCTTTAAAGTATTTTTGATAAGTTAACCATCACACATGTTCTGCATTGTGTTAAGGACCATCAATTGAGTCAGTAAGGGACTTGAGGAGCTACATTATTTAGCAAAGATTTTGGTTCCACTGTTCATGATGAAAAGCTGTTTGTAAGACTTGGATTTCTAAGACTTGGAGCTACATTATTTAGCAAAGTAAACAATGTTTATTTTCAGTCCTGTTGAATATGAGTGACTGGATTTTATCACCTATGTTGTAAAGACATCTAAGCATCTTCATCTCCTGCACTCCTTCTAAAATCCCTGCAAAGCACTTGTAATGGTACTGTTAGTAGATGAATCTTGTCTATCATATGAATCCTGAAAAATTAAAACCAATCAAGGTCGTTGGAGCTTCTCTTAGAGTTAAATTGCTACTGTTTGTGCGGGTTGACCTCCTGCTTTCACTATATATTACATCTCTTTTCTTTTTATTTTTTGTTTAGGTCGTGATACATGCAGTTGAAACTTTCTCATGTACTAGCTTTTATATACATCTCCAGTACTGTTCTTGATACATATTTGTATTGCTAATAGCCTAATATATGTATATGTGCTTTCCTTAGGTGGTATGGGGTGCATCTGCAAAGTTACCTATGAATCTTCATGCAGGTTTTCATTTGAGTTCTTGCTGTTATGCTGTATATTTTGTCTTTCACAAGGTCAATTGAAGCCTAAATAAAATGGTGACAAATATATTCCAAGTGATGCATATCCAGTGCGTTAAAAGAACTATTATTACATGAAAGGGAATTTTCAAATTTATCTTTCGATATGCATGCTGAAAAATTAACAAATGTGTGGAAAATTATCTGATGACAGAAATAAGAATGTCATTTCTGTGCTGATCGGAACTAGAACGTACTTTATGTCTCTTTGGTGGAGCAGCAAATAGGGTAAAATTCAATTTTATTTCATAAACTGATTCTAGAACACAAATAAATGATAAACAATAGATCTGGATCTCTGGTTCAGCTTCTGAAATGACATTCAAGAGAAAGTTTGTTACAAAATTAGGAGAAAATATAATTTGCTTAAACCTGCCTTTTGAGATGCTTCCACCATCTAGCAAATGTAGATTCTCTCTGAATAGCTTTCATAAAACTTCAATTTATTTTTTCAACTTCTTATTATTTGGGGTTTTGTACTCCTTGGGCAGAGTGCTCATCGATCTAGCCATTCCCTGCGTGAAACCAGGTCTGCGGGTATTTGAGGGCTTCACAGTTGGCTTTCATCCTCGCTCGTGGGAAATTGTAGAGTAGCTCTCTATTCTGAAATATTTTCTACTTAACCTATCAATCATGTGATAGGTCAAATTTACAAAAAAACATTTTTTGGTTGTAGGTCTATAATGGTATGACTCAGTTGGGTTATGAGAAGCTTTATGATGAATTTAGGTACTGGTCTTATTTTTTCTCACTTTTTTGCTTCATTTGCAGTTTTCGCTTCAGAGTTGTGTTCAACGAGGTTGAGATTGTTCTTCCAAAATATCTTTATAGCTCAAATCTTAACCCCCTAACACCCCCCATGTAACTCAGATGTCATTTGTCAAGATCAAATACACTTTTTTATTATGGAGTGACATGTCTGTGGTCTTACTTTTTTTTTCCCCTCTGGTCTGCTGAATACATGGCATGCCGTGCAATACTTACCCCTAAAAATGACCACGTGGATAGATTGAACGAGAAATTAATCTCTATCTTTCCAGGAGAAGAAAAATTGTTTGCCAGTTTTGATGAAGCAGTTGATGATGCAAATAATTATTACGAGGAAGACTTCTTGAATTCGTTGACTCCAAATGGATTGCCGCCTCATAAATTGGTCCTGAAAAGAGATTGTCCCATAATCCTCTTGAGAAACTTGGACCCATCTAACGGATTGTGCAATGGTACAAGGATGGTATGCAGAGATTTCAAGAATAATGTGATTGATGCTGAAATCATATTTGGTCAATATGCTGGAAAACATGTCTTCATACCTAGGATACCCTTATCACCAGCTGAAAATGAAGGTTATCCATTCATTTTCAAACGCCCAATTAGACTTTGTTTTGCCATGACCATAAATAAAGCACAAGGACAAACAATCCCAAATGTCGGAATCTATTTGCCTCAATCAGTCTTCTCGCACGGTCAATTGTATGTCGCACTCTCTAGGGGAACTTCGATGCATACAATGAAAGTTTTAATAAAACCACCCAACACGAGTTCAGAAGAAAATACAAGAACTAAAAATGTGGTGTACAGACAAGTTTTACGTTCAGGTATAATTGGTTTCATTTATACTATGATATTATAACTTATGAATATTATCTAAAACTTTATTAATATAATTTTAATACAGAGCATGACCACATGGAAGAAAGTCTACCATAAATGCAAATGTCACGGCGGTTGGGAATATAAGGTAAAAAAATTATCATTGTAAGTAGCCTATTTTTCTTTTTGAATAATTGGTTGGGAATATTTTTTCTGTTTGTATTTTAAGCCATGTATCTATACTTTTTTCTGACAAGCCATGTTTTGTGCAAGTATCTTTGGCCTTTTGAGGTTTGTTGAAATCACTAAAAATTGAAAGTTACACTCAGTATTTGTTTCAATTTTACTAAATGCATTTCCACGATAAGGGAGTACTTGATAAAGGAATTTTCAATCATTATATGTCAAACTGAAGGATTGTTTTATAATTAGATCTATTTTTTATTATTGAAACTGGATCACAACAGTAAACGTATCTGAAGTAGATTGGATCATTTATACGAATTTACATATATTAAATTGGATTTTTAATATTTTGAATAAAATCAACCAGAAAGAGGAAATCTACAAAGGGCAAACTTCATTAAAACAAAAATGGAAACATATATTCCGGCAAATAATAATTTCTTTTTGCTTCATGCCCGATTTTGTTAGAGATAATCCGATTCTGAAATGGTGCATTAGCAATCGAATTCATGTTTCAAGTCTTATACTATTATTCTGCCAATCTATTTCCTCCTTCTGTTCATGTCATGCATCGTGCTTAGAACAAAGTTTTTGGTTGAAATACTTTAACACAAACTAAGTAGTCGTTTATATATTTTTCAAAAAAAATACTATTCAGCAACTCACATATTTATAACTTTCAGCCTAATAATTTAATATTGTATTATTTTTTATATTACATCAAAATTTTAGTTATTTCATGATTTATATCTCATATCTCAAATTTACTTTACTTTCTTATAAACAAAAAAATTTCCAAGTTGCTCTGTAATAATAGATTTAATAGATTTCAAGGACGCATTCCTGTGGAGGTTGAGAAGCTTGGTTTGTTGAAAAAAGCTGGTTTCATTTTGAGTGAAGCCACTGGAGTTTCTGATACTGCACAAGGGTAAGTTTAATCTAATAATTTGCATAACCTGTTTGTATTTTATTTGTATTTATATTTATATTTTTGCTGAAATAATATATATTTTTAATTTAATTTTTTATGAACATGACAGTATCAAAGATGGGGAGAGGTGTGTTAGGCTGTTGGGATATGTATTATATTGAAGCCTCTTTTAAATTCCAATGGTTTTTATTTCATTTTTTATTCCAATAGTGGGATTCTTTCTCAATATGCGATTTCTCGATGTTCGTCTAAGTTCTTGCTCTGTTTAAAGAGTGCTATGAGAAATGCGAATGTTGTCCATATATATTACTGATAAAAGCTTACTGCTTCTATTTATTCCGTTTATTGTTAGGTATATTTACTTCTACAAAAAGGTGGTCCCACAGATCAATACAAAGCGGGTGCAGTGGGGGAGAACTGAGAAGTACAAGCTTATAGTAATGTCATTTGCTATTTTACAAATTTTCTAGAGTCAGGTGCTTTTGCAAGACAGATAAAGGATGTTGTTAATGGTTAATTTTGGATTTTCAATGAATTACAACCGCATTGCATTTTAAACCTGCCGCAGGTGGAATTACGAAACCTGCTGATGCCATCAAATATTTGTACTGTTGAAAATTTAAATCCCTCAACTTCTCTATTTATTACAAACATTTTTTTTTCATTTACATTCCACATATTTCTAAATAGTACATAAATCGAAACCAAATGTTGGGGGTTTTTTAGATGTTCCAAAAAGTTGAGTGTTTAATTGTAATATATTGAGGACTTCAACAAATTCCATCACGTCGACTAACAGTTGGGGCAAATAGAATGCAAGTGCAACAAATCTCAACAGTCAACAGTGGTTGTAATTTTCAAAATAATCCCACTGTTTTATTTCTTTTCTTTTCTTTTCTTTTTTTTTTCCCTGCACATGCCAAAAACCTTGGGTAGGCCTTATTATCATACAAATAAAATATATGCAGAAAGTAATCCAATGCCAAAGCTATCAAAATCAACTAATTAATGAAATATCAGCAGAAAATAAACTGCTAAAAAAATGAAATCCATAAGCATATACAAATACATAGATCACATTTTACAAATAGTGAAATCCCAAAGGTACTCCAACAAACGAATAATAACTTTATTTTTCAACCAAGAAAAGCCTTCAGAAACAAGTGTCCAATACACAACAGCAACAAAGGGCAGCACAACTGCAAAAAAAGAACAAAATTGATTTAGTAAAATTAATCGTTCAAATTGCAAACATGACTAAATTGTGTGATTCGGTATGCAGTTAAAAAAATAAAAAATAAAACCCAACTTCTCATTCCAAATAAGAAGGGGAAGATAAGGCGATAAGTAAATTGATCAGTAAATATGACCAAAAATATCGAAACAAAAAAAAAACTTAAAATCTACTTTTCAGTTGGAACTGTTGCGTTGTTGCCACTGAAATTAATTACCTTTTCTGGCATACGATCGTAAAATACGAGGGTGTAGCTTAATAAATAAATAAATGTCCAATTCTTGCTAACCCTAAAAATGACAGTTTACCATACAAAAATACATGAGTGTCATTGCATGTAAAATCATTAGAATTATTTTGAACTCGATGTTCAAGAAATATTTGATGGATTTTAAGACAATATTGTAAGAGAAGGGATAACTGGGTTGATCCATCATATTTTTATAATAAAAATATATACTTATGTTATAAAATGCAATACATTTGTTTATATGTTTTTAAGTATGAAAATTCAATTTCAGAATATGCATATTTGTCGAAAAGTATGACTATCTAAGTAGCTTGATTTTCCTATAATCAATTTTGAAAGGATATCATTATAATATGACTTATGCGATAATTGATTTGAAAAGGCTCAATATAGAAGCATTTTGGAATGTAGGATTGTAATTTTTGTTGTTTTTACATATCAAGCTAAAAACAACTAACTATTTGTCAAACACTTTTAGCTAACAGTTGATTTAATTAGCAGATAGTTAATTGAACGAGCATAGTTTGTTGAATTAGATGATTGTAAAAGTGTTAGGTAAATAGTTAGTTGTTTCCTACTTGATATGTAAAAACAATCAAAATTACAATCTTATATTACAAAATGCTTTTATATTGAGCTTTTTGGAAATTAACTTTTTTTTTTTATTTGAAAAATATATTTCAAATTGCTACTTACCATACAATGGAATCAAATGTTCTAATGTGTCAAGCATCTAATTCACCCTCCAACCTCTAATTTAGCCCCCAAAATGGTAATTACGAAACAAGCAATATTGAGCTTTTCTGTATTTTTTTTCACTCTCTCTCTCTTTAATATGCTTAAGACTGTTTTATCCTTAATATGGTACAAGTTGAATAATATCCGTTCATTTCAAATTACTAATTTTAAATTTCGAAACTATTATAATTTGTAATTGTCATAGTGATGCGGAAATTCCTTCATTTCTTTTATAAAAATCACACCAATCAACATAACTAATTATATAAATAATGTATATCAAAATATCAATTATTTTATAAAAATTAATTCAAATAAAGTCAATATTGATTTGTAAACTGTTTACCTTTCAACTCATATTTTGAATTTGATCAATATTAAATTTATGAGTATAATTGACATTTTCACTAAAATAATATCAAACATTTTATTTTATGTGTATAAACTTATGACATGTTCGAATAAAGATTTGGACTAAAATAATTAATAGCTTAGCTCAATATATAATTACTAAGGTAACGTGGCAAACCCTTGCGGACAAATATGTTGTTCAATTGTTGACATAACATTACACAGGTATGCGTCATAATTATATATTTATTCTATGATTGATTGATGAAAGGGTTAATGAATAGAGTTTAAGTAACTATAGGATAATAAATTTTAATGTTATTGAATTTATAATATGTGTTTACATATAATGATGTGTTAACATAAAAATAAATACTATGTGACAAAAACTAGAAACTATTCGTATGTACTTAAATTCTTAAGAGAAATAATCACCTTCAAATCAATATAACTGATATTAAATTTAAATCTTTAATAGTTAGGAATCCTTATTAAATAAAATTCATATAATAAATATAAAAACTTCTAATTATATGTATACACAATTCTAATCAAACAATGATACCTATTAAACTTCTATATCATAAACTGTATACAACATATATAATATATACCCTCTACATACATAAATTTATTCCAAGAGATTACAAGAAAGCAACCGTTGCTGTAAGAAATCCTATTGCAAGATCAAAGTTTGTAAGTGAATTTTCTCGGCACTAAAATAAGTATTATATATTATGTTATGTCCAATCCTTTAATATTCATCTTCTGCTTGGTTATATTAATTTGGTTTAATGGTATACTTCATCTTCTACTTGGTTATATTAATTTGGTTTAATGGTATACTTCAACAATTATATCATGCAGAATCAACACCATTATGTCGAGCCTTACCTTAAATTTGTTAGAGATCAATCAAAGAAAATTCACCATCCAACTGAAAGTTTTAAGGACAGGCTCGGAAACACCCTGTGGACAGAATGGATCGAGTCGAATACAGAAGATGATAATGGTCGACAAGGATGTAAGTATATATTTTAATTTCGTCATCAAGTTTTTTCTTAAGATGTGTTCGTTTGGGAAGAAAAATAAAAAAAAATTGTGACCATGACAAATTGTGAAGATAAATAAAATTGTTTATAGAAAATTGCTGATTTATTTATAGAAAATTTATTTATTTCTGTGAAATGAAATTGAATTCTTCTTGATCAGCATGTCCATATTGTTATAATTATCAATTTGTGTGAATTTGGCGTATGATTCTGTGATTTCAGCACGTAAAGATTTTGAGTGGATAATTCATATAAAGAATTTCACAAAAGCATAAAGTACTTTTATTAGTAATTTAATTACTTCTAAAAAAAACTTAATAATTAAATATAAATTCAAAGCCTGAGATAAACAATTGTGATTAACTATTTATTTTATTCATTTATATTTGTGCAGGGAGACCAAATTGGAGTAATAATGTTTAATGCTGATATTGATGTTCGAATTACGAGAGATCTTGAGAGAGATCAAAAATTATCACACGTATTCAATCACTAATGGTGAAGTTGGAAAAGTCAATCCCACTTTTGCAAAAATGGCCATTCATCCAGAGAAAGAAATACTTCTTAAAAAGGCCAACGACACCTCTGTAAATCTTGCTGGTGAAGATATACGATACAATATCTCCTATAATTTCACCACGTTCAACAACATCAATGTCAAAAATCATGCGAACAAAAAAATTGGTATGTATATATTGTACAATATGCAAAAATTAGATTTCTATAAACTCTACTCTATTAATAAAATTACATTTATATTTTTCTCCAGACATATGTGGGATTGTAATGAAGGCCAAGGAAAAGGTGGTGACAAAAGCAACAGGAGCAAAAACATCCATAAGAGAGATAACCATTATGGATCAAGAGTACATATATTTTTACCTTATAAATTTACAATGCTTTATTAAATATTCATAATAAGTTGTATACTTCTAATACACATAGAGATATATATAATAGAAAAACTCCCATAAATACACTTCAAACATATAATATTTATAATTTACAAAATATTAATAATAATAACAAAGTTTTAAATTGATTGTATTTGTAGGTATCGATCCATTATTGTCTCTTTATGGGATGCATGGCTCAAAATGAAGGATCCATTGTACAAAATATGGTTGAAGAGAGGCCATTTATTGCAATTAGCAATTTGATATCACCAAAGATCTACAACGGTAACATAAAAAACTATTACATAAACAATACTTTATTTTTATAAGGCCTTAAATTATGTTTGTATATAATGATGTGTATAACTTTCTCTACATTAGATTATGAGCGATACACAATTATCATGCATATTAATAAACAAATTACAATTACATGATTTAAGTTGTTATTTACAAATAAAAACAATGTTCTTTTCAATTATTTAATTTATTGGAGTAAGCTGTGAGTATTTAATTTAATTTTTAATTCTTATTACAATCATACATATTGTTGGGAGTATTTATTACCTGTGAGTATTTATTTAATAGATAATTAAAAGGAAAGAAAAATGATTGTTAATATTTATTCCACTGCAGCATGCATGTTTACAATCATACATATTGCTAGGAGTATTTATTTGAATTTTACTCTCCCGTACACAACTATTATGTATCATCTTTTGCTCTTATATTGTTCACATTTAATTGATTAGGGCAATTGCAAATGCAAACCAGTGCAGCATCTCTTCTTCAAATAAACAAGGCGTGTGAGGAAAACAACCATATGCGTATATGGTATACTCTAAATTCTTGATACGATATAAAAAAAATATCACACTTTACTTTAAAAAAAAAATTACTTCCTACTTTTTGTATTGTTTTAGGTTACAGACACATGGCAGGCCTGTGAATATAATTGAAATGTGAATGGCACGAAAAATGAAGGATTTGGATAGGATCACCTTGCAACAAATTTACTACAATCGTGCAGACATAATTGAGGTAAAATTAACAAATATCATAAATAATCAACATATTCTTTGGTTGAGATATCTATATCCATAAAAATGGTTTGCAATTACAGGGAAAGAACTATTGTTTAAGAGGATTTGTCGACAAGGTAATGAAAAAAACATCTATATGGTATGAATCATGCACAAAATGCACCTCCTCTGTTGACAAGAATGACGGCAACAAGATGTGTAAAAAGTGCAACGATGTCGTGGAAACAACTCCAAGGTAATAAGAAAAAAACAAATCCATTTTAACTCAAATCGTTCCATATTCATTAGGGAGAAGAATCATCCGGTTACTATCAAGGCTTGAGCTTGCAATCAACCACCGAATTTCAATTTCTCATCAAAATAAATCATAAGTCCTACAACTCAAGAGGAGAAATGAACGTGGTTGCAGAAGCAATAGCAAGATTAAAACCTACCAATGATGATAACGTGAACGAAAGGTCATCAGAATCTCCCAAATCTCTAAGTGATCTGCAAAAGAATCAAGGGGCGCCACAAAAAAAGCAAGTTCTAAGAAAAAAACGCGTCGCTGACAAGATAAAGGAAGACGACAATGATAGTGTAATTGAAATCGAGGATAATGAAACAATCAGCAGTCTTAAAAATAAGTGTGTGCGGAAAAATTCAAAAGGAAAGGGAAAGAAGTCATCCTCTCCGATCATCAACATAAAGAAAGGGAAGAGTTGAAGACCATAGTTACTTCTTTAGATCATTTAAATTTAAGAACATTCTTTAGTTACTGTTTAAATTTAAGAACAATATTTTGTTACTTAATTTCTTGCTATAGTTCATTTACTTTACATTTTTAAAAAATTTCATCTACTATATATTTTACCTTAGAAAATTGATAATTTATCCCGACCACTACATACTTTCTATTAAGAGAGAGTTTACTAAAAAATAGTACCATAAAACACACATCTCCTCGTAAACTAAATTAGAAAAATTAATTTTCCCCACGTGCATCGCACGTGTCCCTTACTATACTAGTTAATTAGAAAACGAGCAGAAGAAGAAAAGTGAAAGCGAGAAATGAAAATAGAAAAAAAGAACATCGGAATATAAAGCAACCAGAGGTTGACAAATATGTAGAGCAGATAAATAAAGCAGAATGGTGGTGGCTTCAAAATTTGGTTGAGTGCAGATACAACAAAGCAGAGAGAAAAGAAAAAGAAATATACATACACACGAATATATATTATTATATATATGTATGTATCCAGTATCTACCTCCGTTTTCATCCAATCTCCAGCTCGAGTTTTTCTATCTGGAGGAAATTTCCTCTTGGGATACTTATTTTTTAACATATATAAGTGAATTGAAGATTACCCGAGAGGTAAATGCGGTTGCTATAAGCTGCTACTGTTTTTGTAAGTTTCTCTGTGACTGAATGTGCATCCTTGTTTCAAGCTTGAATGTTGCATGTTTTATTGTTTCCTCCAAGAAAATCAAATATTTTGTAGATTTAAAATCCAATGCGAGGCAAGATCTGAAACTTTAATGGTTTTGTTAAATTTTGTGTTTAACTAAGAGGTAATGTAGGACGAAAGGGAGGAATGTTCATGTCTCTGATTTCACCTATTACTTTTTTTTCGTTCTTTTCTTTTTTCTTCTCCATTGTTCATTAAAAGTATTCTGAATTTTGCTACTCCGATAATCCAATTTTTCCTTTGCTCTATTTGTTTACGATATTGTTAAATTTAGTGAACTTATGGCATCTGAAATACAGTCGAAAATCAAGTAGAGAGGTTCTATGTGGAGAAGGCCAGTCCAGATGTTTTCATAAATATTTTACTTCCATTTTAATTTGTGAACATCTATGGTGGATTATGAAACTATAGGCTAAAACTTTGTATAATGTTTCATTTGGTTTTCCGATTTGAATAGACATAGCTTAGTCTAGCATGAAACAGTCTTTCTAGCAAAGGAATCGCAATTTTAATGGAGACTAACCAATTTGAAGGCATTGCAGTTGTTTGCACCTGGGTGTTGATCCTTCTTTTGCAAACCATTTTCCTTTTGTGGTTGAGGATTAGAAATTCCACGTTAAGGCTCTTCATATGAGTTGGTCTAAATGCCCAGTGGGTGTTGGTTGTCAATTGACTAAAATATTCACCTAATTCATATGTTTAGGATACCATTTCATTGCTTCAAGCTTCAACTTAATTGGCATTTGACTTTATTCTCATTCAAATGTTGTTCAACATGTTAGGCTTGAAAGATTCGAATTATCTGAGGAAACAAGGGAGAGGATGGACTATGAGAATTTTGAGGAGGAAAGGAGATCCAAGATTGGGGCTTTCAGGAAAAGGGCAATAAATGCATCGAACAAGTTCGCTCATTCTCTCAAGAAAAGTGGGACAAAGAAGGTCGATTTTGGAGTCCATTCCATTTCCATTGAGGATTTTCGAGATGCAAAGGAAGAGAGTGCTGTCTGTTACCTGCGCAAGAAGCTCCTTGAAAGAGGCCTGCTTCCAGTCAGACATGATGATTATCATACTTTGTTGAGGTTAGCTGTTCAAACCCACTTGTTAGTGAAGCAGACAAATTCAGAAAGTATATTGAATAATGTATATATTGGTTTATTTAAGGCATGGACTAGAACGTGCATTTGTAAGTGGAAATTTCGGGTGAAATTTTGAAAGTTTTATCGGGAGGAGAACATGTAAAATGATGCTGCTTTTGTTTCAATTCGCCAACGTAGAACCTAAGAGCAACCGCAACCCTGCGCTATCTCTCTCTTTTTGTGCTAAATTAGCGTAAAATACTACTCCAATGCTGCGGCAGATTATGGCGCTAGATGAGAGATAGCAACAGTGTTGCGCCACATCTGGCGCAACACTGTAGCATCTCTACAATTTTTTTTTTTTTTTTTTTTTTAATGTAATATTAATGATAAATTTATGTATAATGTGTATTAGTAAATGTATTTTTTATGCTAAATAACTTTGTGTAATGTATTTTTTATGCTAACTAATTTATAACTTTGTGTAATGTATTTTTTATGTTGAATAATTTATAACTTTGTGTAATGTATTTATTATGCTAAATAATTTTGTATTTTTTTTTATTTACGTATTACAACTTTGTGTGAGGTATTTTTTATACTAAATATATTTTTATTATTTGGGTAATAAATATTTATATAAGATGAAATATACATATATATACTAATTTATTTGAAATAAAAAATGAATAAAAAAAATAATATATTTGATATAGAGTAAAATGTAGAGATAAGGGTTGGAGACGAATGTTTAACTCTACTCTAGAGTAGAGTAAAATCCGCGCTAGAGTAGAGTTAAGGGCTGGAGATGGTCTAACAGTTTATGCATATGCTACTGAGTTTTGATGTAGATTTTTGAAAGCGAGGGACTTCAACATTGATAAGACCATCCAGACGTGGGAAGAAATGCTTGATTGGAGGAAGCATTATGGATCAGATACCATATTGGAAGTAAGGATAGTTCGCATGAAAAGGGAAAAAACTGGTTTTCACTTTATAGTTAATAGTTCTTGTCATGTATACATGCTCATGCGCATAACATGCATGCATATCTATATAATACGGGTTGAGTGTGGGGCTTGCTAACAGATGAATCATCTTGATTTGGATAACTGTTCTTTCAGGATTTTTATTTTGAGGAACTGGAAGAAGTCTTGCAATATTATCCTCAAGGATATCATGGAGTTGATAGAGAAGGCAGACCTGTTTATATTGAAAGACTTGGAAAAGCTCACCCAAGTAAACTTATGCGCATCACTTCTGTCGAGCGTTACTTAAAATATCATGTTCAGGAATTTGAGAAAGCTCTACATGAGAAGTTTCCGGCCTGTTCCATTGCTGCAAAGAGAAGAATATGTTCAACCACGACAATTTTGGATGTACAGGGACTGGTTAGTAGATGAACCGCCAACAAGTGTTCATATTACTCTCTTACTATATTTTGTTCTACATTCGTTGTATGAATAAATATGTTAGCTTCCTGGAGAAAATAGACTAGTGCGTAGTCCTCATTCTGCAATTTTTAACTTTTAAATACCTTTGTTTTTCACTTTAAACTGTTCAGCAATAGGAGTATCTCTTATTATAGAAACAATTTTATCAATTTTCAGTGCCATGGCATGAAGATTTTTTTTATTCACTGTCCTATTGTAAGGAATTTTCTTGTCGTATGTGTGACAAACGCAGAAATATATTTAATGGAGCTAAAAATGGTGTGAATTGTTTCAGGGTGTTAAAAATTTCACTAAGACTGCTGCTAGTCTATTGGCTTCCTTGGCTAAGATTGATAATAGTTACTATCCAGAGGTATTTTCCTTCTTCATCATATTATAAAGAGAGCGGTTGTTTCTTTTATTATTCTTTAGCTGAAAATCTTTTTCTTTGTAATTTTGGATTTACAGTATATTTATTCGCTATAGCTATTTCCTGTTATATATGCAGACACTCCATTGCATGTATATTGTTAATGCTGGACCTGGATTCAAGAGAGTGCTTTGGCCTGCCGCACAGAAGTTCTTGGATGCAAAAACTATTTCTAAAATACATGTTAGCATATAATTTCTCCTTTCTTTATGTTTGCCCGTGTATTGGAGCTTTGACTGATAACCACGTGACGTCTATTGTACAGGTTTTGGATTCCAAGTCTTTAGTGAAGCTATTGGAAGCTATTGATCCATGGTTTGTTTCTCTTCTCTACTTCAGTATTTGCTTTCTGATTAAGTTTTTACCTAACATCTTTCTCTTCTGCCAGTCAACTACCTGACTTTTTGGGTGGATCATGCACTTGCTCAATGGAGGGAGGTTGCCTAAGGTCTAATAAGGGTCCATGGAATGTCCCTGAAATTATGAAGGTAAATGCATTTGTGCAGTTTATTCTTGAGATTTGCACTGAATAACGACATGATTAGAGAATATTTCTAGTCGAAATGTAATGTGTGTCGAAAATGACTTTCTGTAGGTTGTGTACAGTGCTGAAGCAGCAATGCAGATTGCCAGAACTGCCAGTGACTTGTATATTGAAATCCATCCATTTAAGGTTGCAATGGTCGTAATTAAGTTGTTCTTATTCTCTGTGCAGCGCGTAACATTTTTGTCATGTAATATTCTCAGGGAAAACATGGTGATTCTTCACTTTCATCATTGGCAAATGCTGATGATCATAGCTCCCCAACAAGGCATAGTAGTAATTCAAATATTTCAGGACTCGCCACAGACCATGAAGTGAGTATGATAAGATCCTTATCATTGTGAATCATTCTCAATAGAAACCTACAATATTCTTTGGAGTTCACTGTGTTTGTTCTTATTGATTTTGGTAATAATATCCCATCGTGAGCTTGCTTGCACATGATTTTTCACGGTAGTCCCCTGTATTTGGTGCATTCTCCTGAGCCCTATTCATCAATTGATGAATATAACAATTTTTTTAATTTTCCTTTTCAGCCCAGAACATCAGATCTATGTATCTATTATAGTTGTGATGAATATTTTAGTACCGAATCTAAATATGGGGAGGATGAGCTGAGTGGGGAGGACGAATCTCTAGGTATGTATAATGGAAGAAAATCTGGTGCTGATGCAAGACTAAGTATGAAAGGTATGCTATGGAATTATTAGACAACTCTCATATTGTGCCACATATACCAATAAGGATTTTATTATTATTTTCTATTGAGAAGCAAATTGTGGGTGTTTTATGTTCGCCTTTTTGTAGTAAAACATGCTGCTGTATCGCAATGTTCATTTTTGTAGTAAAATGTGCAGTAATTTTTAATTTGTGTAGGTACTCTTGTTACATACTGGTTGAATGTCATTGTGAAGAGAAGCTTCCGGTATATGTCGAGAACAGTAAAATCTATTACGACAAAGCTTATTGGTTCCATCCGAAATGCACCGTTTGAATATCGAATGGGACAGTCAAATGTGTGTGCACCCAATAGACTCAGAGACCATGAACCAAATACCCGATCTTGCATAAAAGTAAGAAAAGCAGTTACTGAAGAGGACAAGTTTCGATCATGTGTACAACGTCTAAAGAGGCTAGAAACGATGCTGGAAGAACTTAACAACAAACCTGCTGAAATTCCACTTGACAAGGACCAAATTCTTCAGCAGTCGATAGAGAGGATAAAGTCTATCGAGTTTGACCTTGAGAAGACAAAGAGGGTAACTAATTTATCATCCTTGTTTGTCTCTTCAATAGCTGGCCTGTCTCGTCTATAGACCATAACTACAATTTATTCATAATAATTTTTTTTTCAGGTATTGCAGGATACAACGGTGAAGCAGCTTCAGATTGTCGAGTTACTAGAAAATATGCTGGAGTCCAAATTTCAGGCAAGTCAAACTTATTTGGCCAGTTGGGTTATTTTGGATGGTTTTGATAAAATTGTTTTTTATTTTTATGTTATGTTTTGCTAATTCATTAGCTAATGTCACACAAAATCTCCCTACTCTATGCAGAGACGAAGGTTTTTCTGTCGAAGTCTGGGATTGTTTTAGACTCAGAAACAACAAAAGGTCAAATGTGTGATAACAGGATTAACCTTTAAATGCAGCTCTATTTTGAGCAACTTAGAGGTTTTTATTAGAGGGCAGTTGCATTATATTCCATCCATACGAGATTGCTGTGTTTTCCCAAAAAACTACCGCCTACTGGATTTCAAAGCTCCAATTTAGTGGAAACTCGTATTGTCTGCAGTAAGAGATTGCCGAGAAAGTAGTTCGTAAAACTAGTTAGTAAGATCAATAACAAGACTGCCCAATTGTTGATTAAATTACCCAAGAAGCATGTTCATAATATGTATAAATCTTTGTTGAACTTTTAGTCGCTTGAATTACATAAATGTGAAGAGCTATAATAAAACTGAAATAAGTTGAACGATAAGAGCATTTCGCATTGACTTTTGTTGAACATTTTGAAAACCATCTCAATGCGCACTACAGGCCATAAGGTCATTTTTTGAAGTTGTCATATTTCAACGCACAGTTGCCTTTCAAATATGGCATACTGTTCCAGCTTAGTTGACCTTTCCCAAGTTCCCAACAAGATCACATTATGCCATTATGTATATGGGGATGACTACTTATGGAACCATTCCAAAAGTTCCGTCACGACTGTAGTATTTCCCTATGTATATATCTTGTTTTTAAAATATTTTTTCTTTCTGGCGTTTGACCATCAGGATTTAATAGCACAGTCAAGTTATTGGTCAAATATAGATGAACTAAATAATTGTAGAGTGAAAATAAGTGTTATTTTCACATAAGAAATTATAGACAGTCCATCTCATTAGCTTTTTTNATTACAAGCGGCCAACTAGCCGACTAAAACACCTAAACAAATGAGTGTCTATTGCCTAGAATAAACTAAACTAAACGTACCCACAAACTACAATAGTAGTAATTTACACTCCACAAGTGGAGAATTATAACTCCAATAATGGAGAATTCTAGCTCCAAAAATGGAGAATACAACACAAAAAAAATAAAAAAAAATACACTAAACACAACACCATGTGTCACAGGGTCAGTTTTCAGGCCCAAATTTTTGCCTGATCACCCGTTCAGTCTGATCTCCCCGACCAGTCAGCCTTCATCGTGACCCGTCAATCATCACTTGCCCATATAAATATAGTTGGCAGTGCAAGCTATCACTCGCGGAAGCATCAAGTAAATATACAAGTGACACAACACATTTACGCTCTCGCGCCCAACCCAAAGGCTATAATTACTCAATCGCACAATGAGAAATACAATGGCTCGCAAACACACGATACAACACCGTATTCAAGTTATCTTTCAAGCTATCTTACGCACGCAGACATGTTCTAGTATATCTTGGTCTTACTCATGTATCAAGGGACGCCACCCATGGTTTTACACACCTATTTAACGTTCGCCAAATTTAGTACCGACCTTATAGACATTGGCCTTACACACGCTACAAACACTTCACGTATCCTTACACATGCCTCACTAGAATATTTGTACTATGACCTCGCTCACCTCGCTCGTTGCCTCGCTTGCTCGGTCTCACGTTGCCCTTGTGTTTGATGTATCACTCGACTTAGGCTCGCCGAGTTCAGCCTACTCGGCCTCGCATGTCTCGCCCGTCTCGCTTTCCAAAATTCCAAAATGGTATATATGTATTTAATTTTGGCGGAATTTTTTTGCTCATTATTTATGATAAATAGTTATTAATTTTTTTTATTTTTATTTTTTTTGGGTGCAAAAGTAGTTATTCTTTATGTATATGTATATATATATACTAATCTTGTAGCAGAAAAAAATTTTGCATTTTTCTGAACGGAGTGATGCCAAAATTATTCTAAAAAAAAATTAGATGCACACTTTGCAACATAATCCTGCGACCAAATTTATCATATTGCCTCTTTCGTGTTTTTCACTTCCTTTATTATAGTACTAGCAAAGTGCACGTGCAGATGCACGTGATGGCAAATTTATTTTGCCACTTAAATTTAATAAAATAAATTGAATAATTTATGACAAATATCATTGCAGAAATGAAATAAAATGTAGAACGAAAGAGCTTGTAATTATTTTTTTTTAAAAAAAATAACATAATGATGTCCTAATATTGAAAAAATAAAAATAACATATTACAACCCCAACATAAATATATAAAAAATGAGTCATCAAAGGGGGAAAAACTAAATATCAAAACAAAAAGATCTAATGTATATTATAGATGCATTAGTTCTTTTATTTATTTATGTTAGATGATTCAAACGTGGTTTTCAGTCAGGTTTTGACATTTTCATAAGAAAAAATCATACTGATTGGAGTTCAATACATCAATAGTATTGCAAAAACTTTTGTTAATTCATTTAGCAAAACGTCTATTTTATTTAAAATTACGGATTGACGAAGTTAACCCCGAAGCTTTGGTAGTGGATTGTTTCATAATAGCCTATGGTTTTTTTTTTATGCTCTCTATTATAAACTATTTCATTATTATCTTTCATATAGATAAATTGGTATCTACCACATGAAGGCATAGCCCTACAGGATGGGAATGAATTTCATCTCTAAAGAAATGTTGGACTTTCCAAAATCTTGGTTTCATGTATTTCTCCCAAGGCGTTAAATTATATTTTTAAATAATCAAATTACATGAAAGTACATTATCTAAAGTAATTGCACATATGTTCGAGCACAACATACCAATGAGATTGTAAATATTCCTATAAAAAAGTGACAAATTCATTCAAACATTCAAAAATGTTTTGATCAGACTCCGACATTCCCTTTCCAATATTATTTATTTGGAAGATAGACGAACTATATAATCTATTATTTACAAATCATTGACTATCTTAATTGTTGCAATGATTTTACAGTTTTTTTTTATCATAATATATTTTACATTCGTTCGGATTTACAATATTTATGTGTCTAATAACATTTTAATGCTTTTATTGTCCAAGTTTTTGCATCATACATAATGCTTCAAAAATTTAAGATAAAGATCGTTTCTTGACTCTTCAACAATAATAAAACAAAACAATGAAACAATATTAAGAAACATATCATTTTCTAAAATATTTGAGATGAGAAGAATAACAATTATATTATATTATGATATTCTTACTCATATGTAACGAAGTCATTATCAAAATCTACATTATGAATTACAATGTTTTTATTTTTTAATTATTTAAATTTTAAAATTAAAATATATGATTATTATTTATGAGAACTAATTTTCTTATAGAGCCCATATATTTAAACGCTTGCAACAAAAAAATAGTAATTTAAAAGACTTTTGCTTCTAGATATTGGTATTCACATTTCTCTAAGAAAATTCAGACTTTTTATTTTCCATATTGCATAACTATTGTTTCATTTGTTTCTTATTATATTCACCAATAATATTTTATTTGTTAAAAGAATTAGATTACGTCATATGTATTGCGTTACTTTTTTGTACGTATTTTATATACTGAAGTTGTCATAAAAATATTCCATTTATTAGTCTACAACTAATATAATCACATATGATAAATACTATTTAATATTACTTATTTATTTATTTATAATAATAATAATAATATATTTGATAAAAATGTACTTTTACACTATTTGTAAGATTAAAAAGTTTATAATTTTTTTCTATTGTTTGATATAATATTAAGTAAATAACTCATTTTTATATTCATTGAAAATATATGTTACAACCATTATGGTATTCTCTTTCATACAGATTGAATAATAGTTTAACATACAACCCACATGTTTATCTTATGTTATTTTATACTTAATAAAATTGATTTAACATTTATAATTTATGAAAATATATATGACACATGCCCATTTTCAATGCAAAAAATATATGTATTTTTATGTACTTAGGAGTTCTTGTTAAATAAATGTGCATCTTATGTATGTTTTGTATTTCTCATCAGCGAGCTCCAACTGATATATGGTATTAATTAATTTTATCACTTTTTTTACCTTCGTATTAATCCCGAGATATAAACTTTCTCATTGTTTTGTCTTACCTTTTTATTACGTTAAATATCATTCTTACCGCTTGTTTAGTTATTATAATACTAATAAAATAATTAAAGACTTTTCACCCGAGATGTATATGTGTTGTTTTTTAAAAAATACTAATTATCATAAATTAAATGATAATTACTTTGAGTGTTATATTTTTATCATTATCAACAATTTTCTTTATACTTATTTTCGCATAATATCATATATAATGCAATTTTTTTAATTGATTTGGAGCCCTATTTTCACTGCAAGAAAAGAATGAAATTTCTTTAAAAATTTCAACCAAAAAATATATTATAGCAGAATTTCAACGACAATTTAACGAATATTTCAATGGTATTACTCTCGTTTGAACTCTACACCTCAAAGCCCAATACTCAATAAATCAAATCAGCCCAATCCCTCAACAACATCATAGCTACACGCTCAAATCGTACGCGACAAACTCCACCAAGACAGGGGAACTTGAAATATGCCCGCATCACGATGATCGCCGGTCGAATTAGTTGTCATATTCCCTAACCTGCGGAAATTAGATTCAAAGTCAGCTATAGAAACTAACCAGTGAAACACATCCATGCACTTGGAAGGAAAAAAGGACCATTAACTTACAAGAAACACATCCACACACACACACACACAATCACATACACGTGACAGAAATTTTATTCCCGGTTTTATAGTATCCTAAATATTTAAGAGTTATCATTATTGTTTTGTAGCAGTGAACAATTTTTTACACCAACTCTTTTTGTGGTCCATTTACTAAAAATTTGCTTTGAGCCACAAGCAATAAATTCTTGAATGTTCATTTACAATTTACAAGCATATAATTTCCACGAGCTTATGCATAAAAGTCCTCTAAACATTCCAACTTAACCTACATTCTTAAGATAAACTACTGAATCAAGTCAAAATAAGATCTCTGTGCTTATTTACCTTTTGCCATAATCAAAGACATTATATGAGAACTTTTATGATTGTTACGTAGCATTGACGAAAAAATCATGAGCATCAATTAATATGGTATAATCCTACATAAAATGTAATAAACAATACATCATCATCTCATACATTCCAAAGTAAACAACAAAACTTTGAAGACCCAAAAAAACAACCAAACTTTTGAAAAACATAAGTACCTCTCAATATACTCAGGAGCTCCATGCTTGAAATGAGTACCTCCACCAGGAAACCACCATAGCTTATCCTTCTGATTCACCCAATTTTGCCCTCCTTTAACCTCTGCAAGATGCGTATGGTTCACATTGCTTCGCCAAACGTAGTCCCTACTGGTGGGCGGTGGGCTACCTTATCAGTATCTTATAGTCATTTAGTGGTGGAACTAAACAAGCATCCAACAAAGGGAGGACAATGCCACTCAAGCTCCTCTTTTCTACGGCAGCTTCGGTGACAACGGGGAGGTCGTGGTGTCGAAACGCTCGAGTAGCAAGAACTTAAGAAAAAAATTAAAATTTTTTAAGTAATGTCCCAAATATCGTATTTTATCTTTTTTTTTTTTTTTCTCAAATTTGCTGAATGTTTCACATATTGCAAGGTTAGTGGAGTTCATTTTTCAGGTGAACTTAAGGGGTAGTTCTTGAAAATATCTAATTTTATTTATTCGAATAAAATATTGGACTGAATAACCATAAATATGCATATATGCTTTATCAATTAGTGTTGGTAAAAAATAAATATATGATTATTTATTTCTATTGAATTGTAATTGAAGCCTGCAGTGTGCTTTCATCTTGTGCAGGTAGACCATTCAATAATAGAGACTTACTGTCAATTTATTTATTGTTTATAATTAGCTAAATCTGAGGTGTAAGCTTGTAACAAATAGCAAAAAGAGTCAAAAGAATAAACCAAAAACAAACCATATCATAACAAATTCAATAGCAAAAAAGCACACTCAATTAACAAAATTCATGGTTATTGATAATATGAAACGAATTGATTTCATATTTAGATAGCAGTAGGATTCAGTCCTTCACTGTATTTAACATCAAAGCATGAATTTATTATTTACCAATTAAAAATCCCATTACAACTCGAAAAAGGAAAGAGGAAAAACCCATTACCAGGAGATTTTGCGAAAGAGGACCACCGCGGTGCGCCTTTGAACGGCCAATTTCCGTGAGTCCAGTGATTGTATATTTGCATATCGTATTCTGAGATCTAAGAAGTGGAATCTTTTGGGACTTTCCACGTTTTTTTTTTTGCACAGAGAATAGAACGAATATCTGTTTGGTTAGGTATTAGATCATTATATAAATATTAAGTATAGAGATATTATTAAATTACGAATTTGACATTATAAATATGAAAACTGTAAGAGTATTGTAGGCAAAATATATTTTTACAGATTCATTGGTACTTTTATAATAGTAGAGATAGAGATAGAGATAGAGAAGAGAAGAGATAGAGATAGAGATAGAGATAGAGATAGAGATAACCTAATAAGAGCTTCCGCAATGCTGCGCCACATAGCCCATCTCTACTCTATTGTAGCGAAAATCCCTCCCCAATGCTGCGCCACAAATTAGCTCTATTTTGGAGAAAGCTACAGTGTTGCGCCACATCTGGCGCAACACTGTAGCACCGTTACAATTTTTTTTTTTTTTGCTTTTCTTTTATTGTAATATTAATGATAAATTTTTGTATAATGTGTATTAGTAAATGTATTTTTTATGCTAAATAATTGTGTAATGTATTTTTTATGTTAAATAATTTTGTGCTTTTTATTTATTGATGTATTATAATTTTATTTTGTAATTTTTTAATATTAAAATGATACTATATGAATAAAAATTTAACACACTAAAACAAGTTTATTTCATTAAAATTAAGTTGTTGATTTCCTTATCTACATATATGGTCTAAACATATATGGTCTAGTGTGTAAATTTGCACTAATTCATATATTTTCAAAAGTAACAGTTTTGATTCAATCGGTACATAGATGTATATGTATCTTCTTTAAGAAATTTAATTTATTACAATCATTTTTAAAATGTGAATATATGCTCTAAACCATATATGGTCTAGTGTGTAAATTTCTACTAATTTTTATTATTATTTGGGTAATAAACATTTATATAATATTACATATTTATATATATAGCAACTTATTCGAAATAAAAATAAATAAAATATATTTTTATTATTTGAGTAATTAACATTTTATATAAGATTAAATATATATATATATACTAATTTATTTGAAATAAAAAATAAATAAAAAAATTATATATTTAATGTAGAGTAAAATGTAGAGATAAGGACTGGAGATGAATGTTCAACTCTACTCTAGAGTAAGTAAAGTCCGCGCTAGAGGAGAGATAAGGCTGGAGATGGGTTAAATGTAGCAAGCCCACATTACACTTCACAGTTTACAGCCTTTAATTATGCAGCGTTACCATTTACAAGACTCTTTTATTAGCACGCAGGCATTAAATATAAAAATAGAATTATTTAGTGAAACGCGGAAAATGAAATAACTGGCGTTGGCTGTCTCAAACTCAATGGCCTTCATGTTCTCTTTTCATTTGTCTTTTCCCGACTATTTTTCGTTTGCACCCTCCTCTTCTTTTTAATCAATCCATCAATCTACATACTTTGTTATTATTCCAGAAAACTGCTTGCTAGAAATAGAGATCTGCCATAAATCACGGCTCCCGCCATCTCCGGATTTTTTTTTCTCTTTCTGTTTTCGCATATTAGAGATATCGAATCATTTGGATCTGTAAGCACAGTGTTGTTACAGACGGGATTATTATGCGGATCAATTGTTGTTTGGTTCTGTTTGTTTGCCTCGCCGCGCTCCTCACCTCTCTCTCGTCTGCCACTCTCATCTCAGGTGTTTGTCAGTCATCTCTGCAATTAACCATCCGACTTTCATCAGTTCGCTTCACTAGTTTGCTAATTCTATTTCTTTTGTCTACTTTTGTGTTTATATCATTTTTCACTAATGCAGATGGAGTATTTGGATCTTCAGTTTTGGGGGAGAGGAGGCTCCTTCAGGCTAAGAAGCGTAAGTTACTTTTTCGTTTCTTTTTCTTCTTTTTTGTTTTAGCATAGAGAAATTTAATGATTGTTTTCAGCATCACAATTTATCTGTTTGTGGCTATCTATTTTTAATTAGTTTAGGAATATTGTTGGGGAAATAGTCACAAAGACAATTTCTTATCACAAAATAAAAGGGTTTTGGAGAAGAATGTGATTTTTGTCGAATATTTGGGCGTGGAAATTCTGTTATCTTATTTTGCTTTAATTTTTAAAAGTAAGAACAAGACGTGTAGTATTTGGGTTTCCCCATATTCATAGGGCGAGCTTCATCTATGGTTGGTGCATAGATCTGCAAGTGTATTTGGTCCTTTTCAAAGACCCCAATTTAATTACTAAGGCCACTCATTGAAATAATTTTGTGTATTTCTGCCATTTTAATAACTAAGTGCATTTGTCATAAACTTTTGGTTCAAAGAAAGATTGTAATATATGGTGCATAGATATCCAACTTATATCATGTTTCATTAGCATTCAATACAATTATCAAGAGTGAATTTTCTTCCCACTGCCTTTTGTGTACAAAAGCTATTATAGCATCAATTATCCAGTACTGCGGCATTCTGAAACCGAAATTATTGAAGCCCGACTTATTGTGGTTTTTTCTTTTTGCATTTATTACCCAGAACATCATCACATAACACCAAAACTAATCCAAGACTGACCTCTTTTT